GGTACGATCATTCGAGACTTTGCGGTTTATTTTTATAGTTATAAATTGTCCGCAATTGTAAGAACGAGCCGCGAGGCTCGGATAATCGTATCTCCTTTTACGAAATTATCCATTTTAGTGGACGATCTGAGCGTCAGTAAGGGAGACATTACTGTGGACATTTCGCTAGAAAAGGCGTACAGTAATGTCTCTCTAATTGACACTCAGATTGTATTTAAAAAATGGACAATTTGGGAACAGGGGGAGCTGCAAGATAACCTTCGATTTTATAATTGTTAACAATTGGCGAGTGGAAAAACGAGCCAGTTCGAACAATAGTATCGCCTTTTCTCGAGTTGTCCAATTTTGTGCACAATCTGAGCGTCAGTTAGGGAGACATTAATGTATATATATATATATATATTGTATTATATATATATATATATATATATATATATATATATATATTCGTTCTCACAAGTCTATTAATACGTATGAAAGGCGTAAATGTATGATCTTCTACATTTTGTGGACTGCAACATCTTCACTGTTGCACTAACTCGTTATTATGTTAAACATTGTGTTTACCGAATGAAACTTGTTACTCGTTATCAATATCGAATTTGTTTCTTTACGGTTGTCTTCGTAATGATATGCGACAGCCAGTCGCAGGATCACAGACCGCGTTAGTATTGACGTAAAAGTGAGAAATGAAAGATCAAAATCAATTGTTCTTGTTTTAGACATCGATAATAAAGTGGTCCAGGTCTGATTGAATAAAAGCAAGTGTAGCTGCAATTTGATCATTTTAGGTGTAATCTTAATTTTTTGAATTTTCTAGGAAAAAAGGAATTTTCTAAGATTGTTGTTTACGTATATTATTATAATATATTGATGAAACCAAGTTTTATTCAACTTAGCTGGATGCAATTTACTTCGATGCAACTTAGAATTTGTTTGATGCAACTTGTTTCGATAGGAATCAGTTCGATTCAACAAAGTTTAATACATCCAAGTTCGGTGCAATCAAATTCGATACAACTTAGTTCGATGTAATCTAGTTCGTTGCAACAGAGTTCGATGCAACAGAATTCTATGCAACAAAGTTCAATACATCCAAGTTCGGTGCAATCAAATTCGATACAATTTAGTTCGATGTAATCTAGTTCGATGCAACAGAATTCTATGCAACAAAGTTGGATGCAACATAATTCTATGCAACAAAGTTGGATGTAACAGAATTCGATGCAACAAAGTTCGATGCAACAGAGTTCAATGCAACAGAATTTGATGCAACAGAGTTCAATGCAACAGAGTTCAATGTAACAGAATTCGATGAAACAGAGTTCGATGCAACAAAGTTCGATGCAACAAAGTTCGATGCAACAGAATTCGATGAAACAGAGTTCGATGCAACAGAGTTCGATACATCAAAGTTCGATGCAACCTAGTTCGATGCAACCTAATTCGATGCAACCTAATTCGATGCAACCTAATTCGATGCAGCCTAGTTCGATGCAGCCTAGTTCGATGCATCCAAGATCAATGCAACCTAGTTCGATGCAACCTAGTTCGATGCAACCTAGATCAATAAATACCAATCAATCAGTACAGAGTTGGCGAATCCAGTGCCGAGAACATCACAGTCAGCCACACACGCTGACTCGCCACTGGATGCATTAAATTGCAATTGGACACCGTGTCCACCGGATCGATTCCGTACCTTGAATCCCCACTGTATTTACAACGTGCTCGGAGCCGCATGATTACGCAGTTACAGTAAACTCCGTTCGAACGTCTCATTAAAATCGTGGAATCTGAAGTAAGGAGTACGATCGCGAGTCGCGTTCACTTTAGGCGCTTACCGGCGCATCCTGATTATGCATTAATGAGCCTCGCTCGGTCGGCACATCCCGCGGGAGAAATGTAACTCGGGTCTTTGCATCCCGAGGACCGACCACCGCCTAACGGCAGATCGATCGTCTTCTCTGGGGCCAGATTACAGTGATTAGTCCGGGCCACTTGTCTCGATCGCCGAGACGCGACGCTCGGTGCATCGCCGCGGCCTGTTCTCTAAATGCAATTTTTCTGCACCTTGTGCTCCTTTAAGGAAGCTATTCCAAGATTAAGCACGTTTTAATACACGCTTTAACATTTTAATATGCGTAAAAACTTAATAACATGTACGCGCTTTCTAAGTAACTTCCGATCCTTCAGAAAAATCGATGATACGAAGATGAGGAAATACGAAATATCTGAGATTCGAAGATTTCTAGTTAATGTTCACGATTTGCCATACTTTGACCGGTCTAACTCGCGATTGCGATTTATAGTGATAACCTGTGAATGGTAAGACTGAGTTCATTTAGGCTTTCCACGGTTTTTATTATAATGTATACTTGGATTGAGAAATTGATTCAATTATTTCCAAAAGAATCTTTGTGATTTCAACAAGATAATAATGCGAAACTGTTTCATTTTTATCGGAACAGAAGATTTTCTATTAAATATAAATGTTACTGCGTTCTTTCAAGTTAGGATAAAATTGTGAGTAAAGATTTAAGCATTGCTGGAAATTTAGACACACGATAAGTAAGATAAATTTTCATTTCCTTCTAAGAAATGATTACAATCGAAAAAACTCTAGTCATTCGAATTCTGTAAAAAATTACACGGCTCCAATTTGTTTTCTTCGATGCTATGATTAGACTGCGAATCTTTCGCAAAATAAGAATTGTAACTCATAGGAGCCGAGTGCGAGTCGCCTTTTTCCTTAAACAACGTTATCAAGTGGAAATTAATGCATCTACATTCCCAAACGCGTTTAACATTTCAGTATTATAAATTTCACCCACCCACCATTACCGCAACTTAGTGCAACTGAGTGCAACCTTCCGACGAGATTACGAGCGTTCAACGATTCTTTAAAAAATCGAAAACGTCTGTCGAAGCGCTTCCTGGACGCATCGCCGCACGTATCATCGTTCCCGAGCACAGATCGAGCGATCGATGGGCGAACAACCGTCGCGGATTACAATGATTACTAATCGACTTTCGTTCGATTTTCTCGATCAACGATGCTCGTTCAACGATGATCGACTGCCCGTCGCGATCCGGCACGGATGAATCGCGGCGATCGCGGGGACCGTAATCGCGATCGAAGCGATTTGCAAGACTCGTGTGACCGTTTGCTACCGCGTCGCGCGCAACGAAGACGATGATTCTTCTTCTTTTATCCGGGCAGGAACGTAACAGAATTGCCAGTAATGGTGGTTAACGTCGAAATGACAAGTTGCCCTCGGAAAGGCAAGAGCTCGGGTACCCGCGGCGGTGACGGATTCAAGCGGCGATGAAGTGGTCTCAGCCGAGACCGTGAAAATCAGGGCAATCTCCGGGCTGTTAGGCGCTCCCGCCGCAGCCCGTCGTGTGAATTTCTTGCAGAGCGGGGTTTGATAACGCGCGCGCGTACCGGGCCCCGATTTTCGATGGACTGCATGAGTCGTGAGAAAACGGAATGTGCGAATGCGCCTGTTCGCGGCGAGGATGAGGTGAGGATGTTTGAAACAAACGTTACGTTGTCCGACGCGGCTGACGCGATTAAGCGTCGTTTAAGTGCACTCCTTGCTAGACGATATTTGCTTGGTTGTCAGATACACAGCTGTTGATTGCTGGTATAATCTCGTGATATTTTCTCGATTCGTTGCGCGAGCTGCTAATTTCGTTTCACTCTATTGCGTTGTGTTTTGTTATAGTTTGTCTGATTTTATTTTACGGTGTTTCCATGTGCAAGGAGACGGATAGATTATTCGTATGAAATACAATCAAGATTATTATTTTCTTGGTTGTCGGAAGGTCGTGCAATTTTAATATCAAATTGATAAATTCTTACAAAATAATTTCGTATGAAATATAATCGAGATTATTATTTTCTTGGTTGTCAGAAGGTCGTGCAATTTTAATATCAAATTAATAAATTCTTACAAAATAATTTAATATGAAATATAATCGAGATTATTATTTTCTTGGTTGTCAGAAGGTCGTGCAATTTTAATATCAAATTAATAAATTCTTACAAAATAATTTCATATGAAATATAATCAAAATTATTATTTTCTTGGTTGTCAGAAGATCGTGCAATTTTAATATCAAATTGATAAATTCTTACAAAATAATTTCATATGAAATATAATCAAGATTATTATTTTCTTGGTTGTCAGAAGATCGTACAATTTTAATATCAAATTGATAAATTCTTACAAAATAATTTCGTATGAAATACAATCAAGATTATTATTTTCTCTATTGTCGGAAGGTCGTGCAATTTTAATATCAAATTAATAAATTCTTATAAAATAATTTCGTATGAAATACAACCAAGATTACTNATTTAATATGAAATATAATCGAGATTATTATTTTCTTGATTGCCAGAAGGTCGTGCAATTTTAATATCAAATAGATAAATTCTTACGAAATGACAAGAATGTCATTTGTACCGAAATAATGCATAAAATAAAAAACTAAAAGAATGTCGCGTGCAATAGAAGAGGTACGATGAACGTAACTTTCTCAGATAATACGGAAAATATGTTTATTCACCGGGATGTTCATTCATCGGATAGATCAGCCTACATTTGTATGTATTAAGATTCCGTATCGCGAGTATGCAAGAAGATAGAGATTAGAAATAGGAACGTGATAGAATTGTAAGATAGATTAAGTTCGTGCGAAGGTATGAGTGAAGGTACAAGATTACAGAAAAAGACGAACGGGGCAACCGAACCGTAAGAATCAGGAAGCAAGAGATACACGACTGAAAACACGTAATTAAACGCATGTATGGTGGAAATGAAATTATGTATGTATACTAAGAGATTTCATATCGGGATAAACGATTCACGATGGTTCACGCTGAAGAAATGAAAATCACACGATTACAGTGAGAACGCCCACGATGCCGAGGCGCGCGCGCGCACACACAGGCATCGCAAAAATAGCAGAAAATTGCACCAAAAACTCACCGTCCTCGCGTCCCTCCGCGTCCTTGGCCTGGATCAAAATAGTTCTGGAGTAAGACAGCTTATCCAACAGGTTCACCATCGTGGCCAGTCTGCTCCAGGCATCTCCGGCAGGGCTGCAACGAAAACTGACGTTATCTCCGCGGAACGAATCGAACTTGCATCGCTCCAGCCGTTCAACTATCAGCGGCGATCGCGAAATCAGAAACCGGAAGGATCCAACCGCGAGTGCTGCTTCCCTCTCGCAATAAATATCGTTGCTTGCTTCGGCGAGCTGCCTGAATGGATCAGCGAGGTGCGAGGGGAGTTATAATCGATACCGACTCGCTTGCGGATAAACTGATTCGACGTCTCAAGCTGCAAAGACACGATTAATAATATCGGACATAATCAGGTGTTCGAATCCATTTTGAAAGTCTTCTGCAAGTACTCTTTCGAGATGTTTGATCTCAACACTGATTATGTTGTAATTTAATGTAATTGCTGGATAGTTGGTGAGGTTGAAAATTGAAGATCGTTCGATTTGAAGGATAAAGAGAATTACAAAATTTGCACATTTTTTGATTGGAACGAATTGTGCATGTTTTTTGATTGGAAGAAATTGTGCACATTTTTTGGTTGGAACAAATTGGACACATCTTTTAGTTGTAACAACTTGCGCACACTTTTTTCATTGGAACAAATTTTTCAGATTTTGCGATTGGAACAAATTGTGCACATTTTTTGATTGAAACAATTTGAAGATCGTTCGATTTGAAGGATAAAGAGAATTACAGAATTTGCACAGTTTTTGATTGAAACGAATTGTGCATGTGTTTTGATTGGAAGAAATTGTGCACATTTTTTGGTTGGAAGAAATTGTGCATGTTTTTTTATTGGAAGAAATTATGCACATTTTTTTATTAAAACAATTTGTGCACACTTTCTTTATTGGAACAAATTGGGCACATTTTTTGATTGGAACAATTTGTGTACACTTGTTTCATTAGAACAACTTGTGCACATTTTTTGATTGAAACAAATTGTGCGCATTTTTTGATTGGAACAACTTGTGCACACTTTTTTTTTAATTGAAACAAATTGTACACATTTTTTAATTGGAGCAACTTGTGCACATTTTTTGATTGGAACAAATTCTGACCATTTTTAAATTGGAACAAATCGTGCACCATATTAAAATTCGCACAAATCGGGCACATTTTCTAAATCGTCAATCTTTTAAATCTATCTTCACGAAACGTGTCCAAGTTCGCCTAACCACGACTCCATGCATTCGCGTTCGCTGGTTCCGCGGTTCGGAACCGACGACACAAGATTTTCCATCACCGCGTTACCGTTCGGCAGCCTAAATACGTTCGCTCGAAACAAACGGCCACGATCCGTTCGGCCGCAAGAAAATTGGCACCATCGGCGAGTTTGCGACGCGTATGTGTCGCGAGCATAACGACGCGATCGCAGAGGAGAGCGCGCGCGCGCGCGGGCTCGAGCGCGGTTTATCCGCCGGCCACTTCCGTGTTACTGTAAATCCAAAGTCGTCCGTTTAATTATTTCCACCGCGATGAATGGCAGCAAGCGGGGGATCATTTTCCAAGCTATCGATCATTCGATGGTATCGCTGGCTCGCGCTCGCCCGCGCACGTTCGCGGCCCTCGAGGCGGCGATAAAGAACCGAGGGGGGAAGAGAGAACACGCGCGAACGCAAAGAAAACGCGTACGACGCGTTCGGGCCGGCGATTAATCGATCCGCGTCATGAAAGGTCATTCGTTAATTGCGCCGGCCACGCGGTGCCATTCGTCCGATCAACGACTCCTCGCGGATAATTCGCGACGGCTTATTGAAAGCCGACGGACACCGCCGTTAATCAGACAGCATTTTATTATAGCGATGCTCGGAATGCAGTCCGATAGATCTAGTTCGACAGGCCAGAATTCGTTTAACCCCTTAATGCACAGTTTTTTTGAAAAAGGCCGGCCAAAAGAAATCAATTTTTTTAAAATGTAAAAAACACAATTTAGATCGTTGTCTTGGCAAGAAAATTACAAAAATACAAAAATATTAAATATTTATACAATTGGTATGATTTTCAATTGTCAGAATATTATTATTATTATTATTATTATTATTATTGTTATTATTATTATATTTTATTTAACATTATATTTTAGTAAAATATATATTGAAAAATGAGCGAATCAGAATCTGAATATGAATACGCTGTCGGAAAGCGGCTCACAAGGAAGATATAAGTCGTAAATATCAATAAAACGATTGTTTTTTTTTTTGCTTTCACATTGTTATTTTCAATTCTCGATTGCATTCGAGTGTGAAAAATTATACCAACATAAAGTACAACGCGGCTCGAATTATCTTGAGTGTGCACAGTTTGGCCAGTTTAGCTCGAGTTAACTCGAGCGTGCACGTTAAGGGGTTAATAGGATTTACTTAGATGTTCGAGAAATATTAGAAGATTCTGTTGGCATAGCTCGCTGAATGTACACAAGGAATTCGTGTTAGTGTTAGATCGTGTGGATTTTCTTATGCAAAATAAAAATGTCTTTTAATTGAACTCGAGAGTTTCGCAGAATCACAATTGAGTTACTCAAGGCGATTCAACGTTGTTGAATCACTATGCAATTGAAATACAATGTAATTAAATTGCGAAATTGAGTTACGATGTAACTGAATTAGCAGAGCTCTGGTTGAATTATAGTGAATCCCGTTTGAAAGAACACTGCCACGTTAATTAGCACTTCATCGTCCTTAACAATTCCTTATAATATCGTCCTTGATACAGTAATGTCTCCCTAACTGACGCTCAGATTCTGCAGAAAAATGGACAATTTGGGAAGAAGAGGCACGATTATGCCTCTGTTAGAGCTCTGGTTGAATTATAGCGAATCCCGTTCGAAAAAAACACTGCCACTGTTAATTAGCACTTCATCGTCCTTAACAATTCCTTATAATATCGTCCTTGATACAGTAATGTCTCCCTAACTGACGCTCAGATTCTGCAGAAAAATGGCCAATTTGGGAAGAAGAGGCACGATTATTCGCCTCGTTTTCATAGTTGTTGAGAATCGGTAATTATAAAAACAAGGCGCAAGACTCAAATTAATCGTATCTCCTCTTCCCAAATTTCTTCCCATTTTTTCTCCAGAATCTGAGCGTCAATTAGGGAGACATAACTATAATTCCTCACAATATCATCCTTAACAATTGCTTACATCGTTCTTACAACAATGATAAAACGAGATAATTTTTCTTCAATGCCTCTATTTTACTTTCGTTCTTAGATTCCGTTCACGGAAGAATCAAATTACGATGATCTCGAATAAACACGTAACGTTCGCCTTCGGTGGATCAGGTATGACACGTACATGACGAGTTGTTGCAGTGCAAGGGTTAATATAGCAATCATTCACTCGAATTAAAAACGATCGTCTGAAATAATGAAGGACGGCGGCGTGGTGAGCCTCCGCGTCTTCGTCCCCGGAGGCCGAACAGCAGCCATAACGGAAAAGAAGCGGGGAAAAGGACGGTCCGCCGAAGGTGATTGATTGATTGATCGCAATTATACGGTCCCGGGGCACGAGCGGCGCCTGATAGAAAGCCAACCTGCTATCCTCGGCGCGCACAACGATAAAAATCAGCGAAAAGCAGCGACGGCGGCGATGACGGCGGCGGGGCGGGGAGGGGCTAGGGCGGACAGTGATCCAAGAATTCGCGATCAACGGCAGATTAATCGGCGGATCGTGTCTTCTATAAATAAGGATCGTTTCTATTCGCGTCGTTGAGCAGGATCGGGAGAATCCTGATGTATCGCGGCGGGCCGCGTCCTTGCCAAGGAAACGCTCGCGCTCGCATAATTGTTAATCGCTAACAAGCAACAATAATTAACTCATCCAGCCGGAGATAGGGGCCCTCTCTGTGGCTGAGTCTGGTTGCGCAAAGAGGTGTTCGATGATCGCGCTCGTTCCTCGCAGTTACGGGACTAAAGGGGCCTTGAAACTCGTTTAATGGACGATAGATTGCATCAGTCGGGCAACAGCGACTATTTTCTCTTCTTTTCGCTTCGTCGATCCGCCTTTTTCTTCTGTCTCGTTAGAAAGATCCAGCGGATCGATATTCGGTGCCGAGGGCTCGCCGCCGGCGGTGGGGGGGAGGGATCCCGGACAAAAATCGTTGTCTTCGATCTTACCGCTCGAATATTCGACGAAAACACGCGCTTCTGCGGCCGGCCATTGTCCACATTCTCTCCGCAGCCAGCCGGTGCCCTTAACCCGGCAGGGTTAGGGCTCCCCCGTGGGAGTCACGGGGAAATTTGTTATTCTTTTGTCATCGTCGTGACTTTCTTGGAACACCTTAACCGCTCGCGCGGTGGTTCTTTATCGGTGAAAATGTGACTAAGTCCGATTGAGATCGTTTAGCTGAATGTGCGTTCAGTCGAACACGAAATCGAAAGACTCGTTAAAAATCGCAAAAGCAGGATCAATTCGCATACAAATTCTTTAATAGAGAAGTATTAGAACAGTATAGTAAGAGAGAGAGAGAGAGAGAGAGAGAGAGAGAGAGAGAGAGAGAGAGAGAGAGGGAGAGAGCAGGCTAAAACGCAAACAACTCCTCCCCGTCCCCTAATTGCCCTAATTTTACTCTTAACTCTTCATCCATATCTATTAAACTTGTCGCTAAAAGTAGTAAAAGTCACGTGATATTGCATATACTGTATAGCTATTTCAATCAATTCGCATACAAATTGTTTGATGGCGAACTATTGGAACAGTATAGTTAAGGAGGCTAAAACGCAAACAACTGCCCCCGTCCCTTAATTTCCTTAATTTTACTCTTAACTCTTCATCCACATCTGTTAAACTTATCGCTAAAAATAGCGAAAGCCACGTAATATTACATAAACTGTACAGTTATTTGTTAATATTATGTGAATAATAAATACAGATAGATAAACGATAATAAAATAAAATTTTCTTTCTATTTATAATCGCATTCATCAATTTTGTTCTATGGATTTCTTGAAGTGCCTGTTCTAGACGCGTTAGTTTTTGTACAAACTTCGCTGAAACGTTCGAAGATTTGCACGAATTGTCAGACAATAGATAG